TCTTGTTATGATTTTAAATATGTATTTAACCTCAGAATAATTTAAAGCAGTGGTTCTCAAACCTGTCCTGGCGTAGCCCCAGCCCTGCACATTTTGTATGTCTCCCTCATCTGTCACGCCTGATTCAACTCATCAGCTCATTAGTGGAGACTGCATGACCTGAAGAGGGTGTGTCAGATAGAGGGAGACATACAAATCATGCAGTGCTGGGGGTACTTCATGGACAGGTTTGAGAGCCCCCGATTTAAAGTAAGTCTGATTTTGTGGTGGCTGTGCTTCAAAGGGGCCATCGGATGTCCATTTTCCGCAAGTTGGTATGATTCTATTGGGTATTCTTAAAATGGTCACAGTGGTCATGTAAAACAATACCCTTTTTACCTTGTCAAAAACAGCTCTGTTCACAGCGAGTGGTTTCGGTGCATTTCTCTTTACATGCTAATGAGCTCTGCTCACACCCGCCCCTCTCTTCTGTGGAAGAGCAAACGCGATTCGCAAATAATCATTAAAAATAAATAAATAAATAAATTTTTAAAAAGCTACGGGTGTCTCGTGTTCGAATCCCGACTCAAGGACCTTTCCCGATCCCGCCCCCCCAATTTTGCATCCAATGTCTTCTTTAAAATTAAAATATTATAATCTTAATTCAAGTGCAGAAGGATTTCGAATTATCAGCGTTGAGCACATACTGAAAGGTTAACCCTGTCTGGTTTACATGTTTGAAAATAATTAACAGTTGAAAACATTAGAAATTTAGAAAAGTAATCAAAAAGTAATCAAATGTAATCAGTTACATTACTTTAATAAAGTAATTGAAAAGTTACACTACTTGTTACATTTTAAGTAGGGTAACTTGTAATCTGTAACTTATTACATTTCCAAAGTAACCTTCCCAGCACTGAGAGTTACAAGCTCTTGGTGCATAAAGAAGATCTGTAAAGTTGCAAAGACTAAAGTCTCAAATCCAAAGAGATATTCTTTATAAAAGTTCAGAGTCAGCCACACCTACCTAAAACGGCTCGTTCTAACACGCCCCCACATGTCTACATCACTATGTGGGAAGATTTGCATAACGCCGCCCAAATGTTCACGCAAAGAAAGAAGGCGTAACTTTTATTATGTGTATTTGCTTGCAAGTATAGAAATCTGTATGAGAATGGAATGTGCAGACATATGGTGAAGCACATGATGGCACATAATGGGGCCCTTATTTTCACAGAACATAAAATTAAGGCTTTAATGTAACATTAATGTTCTTTTTAGCAGCATCATGTGACCCCTTTAATACAACGTTAGTTCCACACTGAACATTTGTCTAATGTTTTTTAAATGTAACAATTGTTTCAGCGTTCAGCAAACATTCCAAAGTAACGTTCTCATAGCAAAGTGATCACATTCCCTTAATGTTTTCTCTGACTTTCACAAGAAAAGCGTTTTTAAAACATTTGTTCTAAGAACATTCATTATGTTTTCATAGTATAATTGGAACGCTAGTAAAACGTTCTCAGAGCACAGCTAGACAGATGTGTAATGAATGAGGGAGTCGTTCTTCAGGTGATGATGCTGATGCTGCGATCACAGTGTGTTTGGAGCATCCTCCTCCTCCTCCTCCTCCTCTTCATCCCGCCTCTCCGGTTGGACTCCGCGGTGCTCCCATTTTGCTTGTAGTTTTTCATCATTTCCAGGTCAGAGGGGTGGTGGCTTCCTGCGGACTGAAGATGGCCGCAGATGGAGGCGCTCTGAAGGATATCAATGAGATTAAATCGCAGTTCCGGACCCGCGAGGGATTCTACAAGCTGCTCACCCTCTCGGACTCTCAGCAGCGGGCCGGGCTGCCGCGGGGCCCCTCGGCGGGCGGCGGCGCCGGTGTTGGGCTGGTGCAGGGGCCCGGGGCCGCCAACTCCTCTCCGGGCTCCCTGCCGCCGGTGCGGGTGTCGATGGTGAAGCTGAAGCCCGAGGACCCCAGCGAGGACTCGGAGCGAGTGTGCTTCAACATCGGCAGGGAACTTTACTTCTACACCTACACCAACATCAAGAAGGTACGAGCGTCTCGATCTGATGCGTGATTCGGTTTGAATGACAGACAGATTCGGAGCGACTGCGGATCCGAGCGCTGCATGAACGTTCCATTAATGTTACTTCTGCGTTTGTTCAGAACGTTTCCTGTTAGCTGTGCATGCGTGAGATCCAGAGAATCCCGCATGAATCTGTCTGCACTCATTATGTGTGCAAATGTGACTAATAATGACACTATGTAGAATAGAGCTAATGTAAACAGCTTTCCTGTAGATCGCAGCGTTAGTAATGCAAAGGTCATGGGTTCGATTCCCAGGGAAATGCATCAACTGAAACTTTAAATGATGTGTAAGTCACTTTGGATAAAAGCATCTGCCAAATGCATAAATATAAATCCATGTGACCATAGAGAATGACTTTTCATCTGCACTCTGAGGCAATGGGATTGAAGTGTTTGGCTTTTATTTTATTTGTTCGTCACAGACTCTGTCCTGTTTTTTATTGCATGTACATGAAGAGAGGAAAAAATGCACATTTTAACAAACAAGATTTCACACTAGAGTTTGTGACAGTCGCCATTTAAATGCTAATATATATAAAATACTTCCAAAATCATACAATGGTCTTATCCTTTCATACTGTATATATGAATGAGGTTTATTATAATTAACTTAAAAAAAAACATTTATTACATAAATAAAAAATAAATCAAATAAACGTTAACTGAAATAAAATATATATTAAAAAAACGTATTTTATTTCAGTCGCAAAGGCAACATCTCTCATTTTCATTTAATTTAACCTGAAATATGTAAACATGTAAAAAAAAAAAAAAGGTAATATATTTTTAGTATAAGAGCAATACATTTTTTAACAAATGTAACACTAGTGCACCAGTGTTTGTTTGTTTGTTTTTTAGCATTAAAATGTTAATTAAAACAGCCAATGTTTGCATGTATGTAAATATAGGTTATGGTTTCCTCTGTTTAATCATTGTGCAATAAATTGTGACAATGCATATTTGAAGTTAACCATAATAACTTATATTCAGATATAGGAAAGGACAAGATCACTGTATTTTGGAAATATTATATACATTTGTAATCAAATAGTGATTCTCACAAACTCTAGTGTGAAATCTGAACAACTGAGAGATTCTTTGTTTAAAAAAATGCAAACCACAATGTCGCTTTTTGTGTGCATACAATTACATGGTTACATGCTAAAATAAAAATCTAAAACTTTATAGACATTAAAACAACTAATTTTAATAAAAATTATTGAAAATTAAAATAAATAAAAATGACAAAAAACAACAAAAAGACAAATTTAAATGAAAATGGAAAATATAAAAACATCTTAATGACAGAACATTGCTCTTTCTGTGTGTGTGTGGGTGTGTGTGTGTATCTCTGTGTGTGTGTGTGTGTATCTGTGTGTGTGTGTGTGTGTGTGTGTCTGTGTGTGTGTGTGTGTGTGTGTGTCTGTGTGTGTGTGTGTGTGTGTGTGTCTGTGTGTGTGTGTGTGTGTGTGTGTCTGTGTGTGTGTGTGTGT